CTGGGCTGACTGCATGAAGTCTGTTGCAATAATGAAGTTAAGATCTACATCTCTAAAAATCTGTATTGTTTTCTCCAAGAATGAAAAGCTTGTTATTTGTTAGCATGAATCTTGGGGAGTGGGAGGGTGGTTTATAAGCAACCTCACAGGGAGAAAAGTTTTAGATCCTTGAATTCTTAAGTTTGGTGCATGATAAGGATGTGGTTTCTACCCTCCCTCCCCCCACCTCCAGCTGGAGTTACAAATCCTGGCTGTGGTTGGTTTTACAGTATTCTGGTCATATAGAGTTCCTGCTGGTTTTACTCCCTGCCCTTAGACAACCTGCCAAGGAAGGAAACTTAGACTGTGGTTGCTAATGTGCCCAGATGCAAAATCCATCATGCTTGTCAAAAATTAGAGTGGTTACTTAGGTGAATCAGGAAAGACTCCAAATTATGTGATATTTTGGAGTTTTGAACTTTGTTCTTTACCCACCTGACCCCTAACTCTAAAGTAAATCTTGGATCCTAAGTACAGTAGTGAAACCCTTGACTAGGCAACTTGGCATCTTTAATGATAATTCAGGGAGAATACTGTGTTCTCTTGGTGGGCCTTGGCTAAGGTGTTGGTGTTCTTTTTCATCCAGATGTCAAAGAGATTTTGAGTTCTGGGCTGTGTTAATACTTATGCTTCCTTCGCTGGGTGCAGTGGTGCATGCTGGTAGTTCCAGTTACTGGGGAGGCTGACACAGGAGGATCCTATAAGCCCAGGAGTTTGAGGACAGCCTGGGTAACATGGGGAGACTCTGTCTCTATACATAAATGCATAGACACACACATACCAGAATGCATAGTTGATCCTGGACTGGAAGTTGAAAGAAAAAGGAAATAGGATGATTTGTTCATTAAATGAGTGAGAGAAAGGAAAATGGATGGATTTTTTTTTTTTTTTAGCCTCAATGACTGCTATTAAAGAAAAGAAGAAAGTGGGGACACCTACCGTAATGACAAGAAAAAAGTGAAAGAAAACCGAGTTTGGAGACATCCTGCCTCATGTCCTCCAGTTCTCTCCCCACCTCCGTTTCCCCCCCTGAGGATCCTGTTTAGGAGGGAGAGAGTAGATCGAGTAACCACGCTAGAGTCCTTGTAATTGCCTAGGACTCCTCCCAGAATTCCTGTCACCCGATTCACCTCAGCTTCTACAACTGTATCAGTTGTGCTCTAGTCACGCTGGCCTTTGCTCCCTGCTGAGCAGGCCAGGTTCTCGCCCTCTTACTTTTGTGCTGGCTGTTTTCTCCTCCACCAGATATCTAATGGCCAACTCCCTCCTTCACGTCTTTGCGTTAATGCCACTTTCTCAAAAAGGCCTAGTTTAAATTGCACCTTCTATTTCACCCTTCGCCAACTCCCCTGAACCTGCCCCTTTATCTTTCTTTCCATAGTACCGTCAAGCTCTATTAATATTCTATATAATTTACTTATTTGTGTTGCCTGTTGTTTGCCCTATCCCACCCATTCCATGCAGGTGATTAGGATCTTTGTTTTCTAGCAAAAAAGTACCTGGCATGTAGCAGTCCCTCAATAAATATTGTTGAATGAGTGAGTCAATATATATAGTAGCTCTTTGGTTTGAAATGCAGTTTTCCATACTCAGGAGTTTTTGGCTATTACTGTTTTTTCCTCCTGGGTTTGGTCTATCATACTGAATTGCTTTGTTGGGGCTGTTTTGTCATCATTTTTCTTTCTCAAACCAAAGGCCCTTTTGGAAATGACAGCTGTATCAGACCAACTGCTCAGAAAAGCTAGAGGTTTAGAGAGTCCCTGGAAATAGCTATTCTGCAACTAAAACAGGTTGTTCCACAATAAGGATGGTTTCCTTTCCCTAAAAAGTTTTTAGGGATGCTTTTGTAGGGGAGGAAAGCTGTTTTCCC